CTCTAGAGACCCAAAGATTGCCCCAAGTCACCCAGCCAGGAAGTGGTTCTCCAGTTCAGCTCGCAGGGAGGGAAGGAAGGTTTCTTAAGTTGAGGTATGATCTGTGATAGACTGGGGGGCATGGAAGCTGCTAATTTAAACACATCTCCAGAGCTGTGATTAATAAGCCCAAACACTTTGTGCAGATCGAGGAGCTAATTATAAACCACCCGTCTTCTACTTTAAAATTGGAGATGTCCCAGATGGTAGGCCGCGTAATGAAGCACCACAGACAGTGAGACTGACAGGTGTGACCGTGTGTTTCTGTTCCTGACGGTTAGCATCCCACCCATCTGAATTACAATTGGTTGTTCTTTAAGTCCTGTCCCACTTCAGGTCAGAGGGTAGCTGCTTTTTCCTAGCTGTGGCAGTGTGAGGCTCCATTGACCTTAATTCCATAAATATTTATTGAGCACCAGTGGGGTACTCCTAGTTCTGGGGGGGGTCTGGTGAACAGGGGAACATGATCCCTGCTTCCAGGGGGCATCCATTCAACTGCAAACATACGAACTTAAGAAAATAAGTCCGGGTGGGGACCTTAGAAATCAAGGCTACAAAATGACTGGTTGTTGGGGGGACAACTTGCTGCTTTAGAAAGAGCAATCAGGACAGGTACCTCTGAAGAGGTGACATTAATGATGAGCAGAAGTCAGCAGTGCAGAGGGGAGGGTTTTCCAAAGAGGGGCTGGAATGAGCTTGCTGGTGGTGAAGGTGTAACTAAAGCCAACTAAGCTGGGAAGAGCATTTGGTGGGTGATCTTGGAGGCCCCTGAGGGTCTTGAGGTCTGCATAAGGACTCTGGACTTTGCCAATAATGAAATTAACCGGAGAGATACCTGTTTAGGGGCAAATACATGATTGTTGCTCATCAGTGGGTAACATTGGCCATTCGGTTCATGCTCTGCGTGCAGGAAGACCCTGGAGAAAAATCTGAGTTAATCAATAAGAAGGTTTATTCATAATTAAATTAATGTATTAATAATGTCTGCAGTGAGCAGGTAGCTTTTGCAACCCCACCCCCATGTCCCCAAGGGAATAGCCTATGTTTGGGATAAGTGATTAGTTGTAGGCTCTGGGTTGAGCACCGGGCCCCTCCTGTTCTTGACCGAGCATTTTTCTGTTCTGGGGAGGGTTGAGGTGATTAAGGTTATCCTGAGATTGCCCAGAACACAGAAGTACAACACGAGTGGGACTGAAGCTGCTCTTCTTCATGTTAACCTCATCGAAATAAGAATCTGTTCACATATGTGATGTCCTCAGAAATGCTAGACTTGGGAGCTTCTAAAAGACAGGGTCAGGAAAACAGCTTGTTTGGGAATGTATGGTATTTGCTAGCTTGTTGATGCTGACCCTGATTCCACTCCAGGGCTTGTGGAAAAAGCCCAGCGAAGATCACTGCATCCACCTGTATAGCTTCTGCTTCTCCCTGTGATTTTGAAGAATTTTTTCCTTCCCTACTGGATGGAGTTCACCTGCCCTGACGACTCATTCATCATCCTTGGTTGCTGTCCTGTCCTCTCCGCCTTCAGGTTGGGGAGGTTCTGGAAGTGATTAGGCTGTTGTAAATCAGCCTTTATGATGTGTATGTCAGAGATAAGCAGCAGGGAAAGGGGGAATTAAAGACCTCATCCCCTCCTGCCCTGACAATTACCCCGGTAATGGAATTAAAAAATCTAGATGAAAGTATTGTGGTTGGCAGAATAGTTTCTCCACAGGCATAGCCAGCATTTAAATTTGGCTCTTTAATGAGAACACTGCTTTATTTTTATGCCATGTTATTGAGGTATAGCTTACATATGAGGTAAAGCAAGCAAAATATTAAAACTGCACCTCAAGAAATTTTTCCATGTGTATCCTTTTATAACCATCACCCAGGTCTAGATATAGAACATCTCTGGCACCCTTGAAGTTTCCCTGAGGTCCCTTCCCACTGCCCTGATCTCTGCCACCATAGACAGCCTCAGGCTGCTCTTGAACTTCATATAAATGGGCTCACACAGCACGTACTCTCTTGTGTCTGCCAGCATTTTCTGACATCATCCCTGTTGCTTGGTGTCGTTCATTCTCGTCGTTGTATGGAATTCCACCATATGATGGTTTCTCAGCTGTAGCATGACTGACCTCTGGGGCTGGATAATTTTTTGTTGTGGGGACTGCCCCGTGTGTGCATCGTACGGCGTTCAGCAACATCTCCCTGGCCTCTCCCCTTTAGATGCCAATAGCATACACCACCTGCCCCCCAACCCCAGTAGCTTCCTCGGGCATGGAAAACCAAACCATTGTATATGCATACACTACAGTTTTTTTGTTTTGTTTTGTTTTTTTATTCTTATGTTAATCCCCATACATTACATCATTAGTTCTAGATGTAGTGTTCCATGATTCATTGTTTGTGCATAACACCCAGTTCTCCATGCAGAATGTGCCCTCCTCAATACCCACCACCAGGCTAACCCATCCTCCCACCCACCCCCCACTACAGTTTTGCGGAAACTTTCAAACTTACTGAAATGTTGCAAAAATGGAACAAACAATACCCAGAATGTCCTCTTTACCCAGATTCACCTGTGGTTAATAGTTTATCCCGTTAGTTTATCATTGGTTCTCTCTTGCACACACACACACACACACACACACATGCACGCAATGTATTTCTGAACGATTTGAGAGGAAGTCACATCCAGCTCATCCATGTACTACCATATCCGTTCCCGTGTATTTCCCAAGAGGAAGGATCTTCTCCAACATTATCATAATTATCACCGTTATCAAAATTACCACAGTAGATTTGGCATAATATGGTTATTAATTGCCCATGTCCCAATTTTTGTCAGTCGTTCCACAGTTATGCTCTATAACATTCTCACTAGAGAATAAGTTCGGAGGGATTGGGTATTCCATATCGTTGCCATGGTTCCTTCATGTTCTTCAGTGTAGAACATTCCCTCAGACTTTTATGATAGTGGGAAAAAAAAATGTTTTAGGATATAGTCCCTTTTTTTTTTTTTTAATAGAATTTTCCTCATTTGGGAGCTTATCTCATGTTTCCTTCTGAATCCATTCAGGAAATGTTCCTGACTGGAACACTGCATGAGTGGTCGTGTGCCTTTCTCAGGACCTACGTCAGGAGGCACGCAGTGTCCAGTTACACCTCATCGATGATGTTAAGTTTGCTCTCCTGGTCAAAGTGCTGTCTGATTTCTCCATCGTGTGGCTACTTAATTTTTCCTTACAAACTAATAAATACGTGGAGCAACACTTAACCACCATGCAAATACCCTGCTCCCCCATCAAATTTTACCCCCCTGACTTGAGCATAAGTTGACTCTTGCATGAATCGATCTTTATATACAGTGGTTACAAAATGGTGGTCTTCCAAATCCAGCACCCCTTCTATGCGTACTCATTCTACTCAACATCCTATTGTATACAAGAGCCCAGTCTTCTCCCCCATTTATTTGTTGGTGTGTTTATCTGGTATAGGTATGGACTCACGATTTCCTCCTTTTTCAATGGTTTATAAATCATTACTGTTTTTAATGTTTTGATGCTCAAGTTGCTCAGCTTTGGCGAGTGAGAATCCCTCATTTTTCATTTGTAACACTTCCTTCCTCTTTGGCATAGCAAGATGTTCCAGGCTCAGATCTTACATTCCCTCCTCCTGTCCTGGAATCAGCCATCTCTCCAGACTCCTAATTCCTTTTAAGGGGGAATCGTATAAAATACAATTTATTGATCTTTTTTCCTATTAATTGACATTTGAGTTATTTCTAATTCTAAGCTACTATAAAGAAAGCTTCTCCAAATACCCCTGTACATTTTTTGGACCTATAAACTGATTTCTGTTTGGTGTATAACCAAGAGTAGCAATGGAAAATCATAGAATCGCCACTCTGATTGTACACCCAACAGAAATAACACATTAAGTCCACACACACACACACACGAAAGGACACAGATTTTCAAAAAAGCTTCATTGATAATTCGTGTGTGTGTGTGTGTGTATTTAGCTTAAACAGATATTGCTAAGTAGTTTTTCAAGTGTTCAGAACGTTAGTTTTGTCAGGGGAGTGGGGTTGTTGGCCCCAGCAGGGAGGGACGAATAATCAGTGGCAGGGGTCATAATGGGCCATTGCAATTCAAAGACATGTTTTCTGCAACCAGCAATGGCAAAATTGCTCATCTTCCAACAGGTAATGAGTGAAAATGCTTAGATTTTACCACCTGGGCCATTCTTAAGCCTCTCTTTCAAGGCTCTTTTTTAAAAAGTGCCTCCCCCGGGGAAGGAGTGTCCCAGAGTCCCACTCACATCTTCTGGCTGTCAGGGGCCCATTTAATACCCTGCAGCAGTCATTTACTGAAGAGCCTGAGAGAGCAAATATCCCTCTATGTACACCCAGGGAGTCACTTAGTGTTTCAGACATTTGGGCTATGGGGCTTAGGGACTACAGGCACAGGGGGAAGCTGCTGGAGGCTAACAGGAAAGTGAGTTGGTCTGGTATCATGGGATTAGATGTGAGGCTCCGTGTTGGTAGGAATTGCTTGGGCATGGCCCAGCGGCTGTCGCTGGAACCTTCCACATCCAGAATATGTGTCCCGTGTACTTAACAGTGCAGCATTAGATCAAAGGGGTAATTGACGCACTTTGTAAAGTGAAATTCTAAACAGAGGAAGCATGCATAAGATGCACAGTGGGCTCCTAGTGACTTCGATGAGCCTTTGGAGGAATTAGTAACTCGTAAAATGTACCTCTGTGGAAGCATTTTAACCAGGTATCCTCTCTAGGTGGGCTGTACCCCCCTGTGGAGCGGGGAGAGCTCTCCCAAACATTCTGAGAGCGCCTTTGGGCAGCGTACAACTGCACAACCGTATGCCGCGATCCTGGATGGACAGCGGTTCCAGTGAACAAGACTGCACGTTTGTATTAACCTCCGTGGTCCTCTCTTCCCTCTCTCCCCCCAGGCCTGTCCGCCGATGGTGGCGCCAAGCGCCAGGAGCACCTCTCCCGGTTTTCCATGCCCGACCTCAGCAAAGACTCTGGAATGAATGTCTCCGAGAAGCTGAGCAACATGGGCACGCTTAACTCGTCCATGCAGTTCCGGAGCGCAGAGTCGGTTCGCAGCCTGCTCTCTGCCCAGCAGTACCAGGAGATGGAGGGAAACCTCCACCAGCTCGGCAACCCCATTGGGTACAGGGACCTGCAGTCCCACGGCAGGCTGCACCAGAGCTTTGATTTCGAGGGGGGGATGGCGGGCAGCAAGCTGCCAGGGCAGGAGGGCATGAGGATCCAGCCCATGAGCGAACGCACGCGGAGGAGAAGTACCTCCCGCGACGACGCTCGCCGCTTCCGACCCCACCGCTCCAGGCGTTCCCGGCGCTCTCGCTCGGACAACGCCCTCCACCTGGCCAGCGAGCGCGAGGCCATCTCTCGGTTAAAAGAAAGGCCCCCGCTCCGAGCCAGGGAGGACTACGACCAGTTCATGCGCCAGCGCAGCTTCCAGGAGAGCTTGGGCCAAGGGTCCCGGAGGGACCTGTACGGCCAGTGCCCGAGAACGGTGTCGGACCTGGCTCTGCAGAATGCCTTTGGGGAGCGGTGGGGACCCTACTTCACCGAGTATGATTGGTGTTCCACCTGCTCGTCCTCTTCGGAGTCTGACAATGAGGGCTATTTCCTAGGAGAACCCATCCCCCAGCCCGCCCGCCTGCGATACGTCACAAGCGATGAGCTGTTGCACAAATACAGCTCCTACGGCCTCCCCAAGTCTTCCACGTTAGGGGGCAGGGGACAGTTGCACAGCAGGAAAAGACAAAAGAGCAAAAACTGTATCATCTCTTAATACGGTTGGCGTCAGGGAATGGGGGAAGATGGGAGCTAAGAATGTACATCCAGAAACTTGCACTGTTTTCAGTTTTAAAGCGCTTTCCGGGGGTGGTTGCTGGAGGAGAAGAGGAACGTGGTGCCAGTTGTGGAGGCAAGGTTCTAGACTGACTCAATAGGTAGTCCCAGTTCTCGGCATGTTGAGTATTATTTGCACATTTCACTTTGGAAACGCTGTAGACTCTGTGGAGGCCAGGGTTGGCCCCCTCCTGCCCGTCAGTCTGTGTGGAGTCGCCTTTCGCAAGATGGCAAACTGTTTCCCGCTCGCTTATATCCTCTCTGGTTCTCTTACTTTTAGGACCCTTTTTCCAGTAAGTAATTTGTTTATTAGCCAGGACCCAAGACTAAGTTATTTACATGTCCATTGTAAATGCAATGTAAATGAGAGTTCTGATAAAATATTTTTGTATTTTGTAATATCAAAGGAATTTCTATATCGTAGGACTCAGTGAAGACTTGCATGCACATCCAGCGTTGTCTTTGAGTAGTATTCAGAGGTGGTCCAGGACCACCTTTTTTTTTTTTTTTCTTTTTTCTATACAAATTTGTTACATGTCAGTGAGACCTTTTTCAAAGGAGTTTATTCAATTTGACTTTTTGTGGCTGAAAAAAAAAATGAACTATTACACCCAAAGTATTTTATGCTCCATTCCATCTTAAGGAGACATCCTTAAGTCTGCTCCCACCCTCGGTAGAATTTCTTCTCTACAAAGTGATAGTAATTTTTTTTTTAATTGCAAACGTAACTTTTGCCAATTAGAGAAACCAACCAGTGTCCGTAAAGTCCCGTGAGCAACGCCATCCCTGCTGGGAACATTGAAGTTGCTTGCTATTGGTCTGTCCCTTGGGGAAAATGAAAGTGACTGTGAGTGGTACCCGTCGTGTGATGTCAGCATGACGTTGTTTTGAATGTGGCATTATTTTCTGGTGCTCATGTTTCCTGGATTATATTATCTGCTTTCCTTTACCAAGGCAGACAGAACAGCTGCCTTAGCCTGACAACCGGTTGTCCTCAGTGCAAATGAACTTAAGCAGTACATATGTAGGGGCAGAAGGTTCTGTGGGGCTCTGGGAGTGACGGGGTGTTCTAGAGCGTACGTCATGCGTGGAGAAGGAACAAGGGAATTCGAAAAGCAGAAAGCAAGTCAAGGGTGGAGACTGAAGGGGAATATGAAGGAAGGCCAGAGCAAGGAGAGCTTCTGGAAATGAAGTAGAGTGGAGGTGACCTCTACCTTGAATACCCCTCCCCCCCCAATGCTTGTGGAAAGAATCCAGTTTAACACACCCCGTAACCAGAGTGTCTGGGTTACCCAGGAACGGGAGCTGCTCGGGAGATTTCAGGGTGATGGCCTTGAAAAACAAATGCTGTTCAGAGGGGGATTTTCGTGTTGAACTTTGGGGACTGTTGGTCAGACAGAAAATGGGCTCAAAAGTGAGTTTGCTTGAAGAAGACATTTAACGGTTGTGTTGTTTATAGTAAAATAAAACTTCCTACCTTGCTTCAGTTCAAAATGAAGCGCTGGCTTTTTCTTCCATTCTCCTCCTCCCTTTAATGGATTGTGGCAGTTGAAATAATCCATCGGAGGACCCACCTTTAGTGAGATGTACTGTTCATGTAGTACACGGTGTATCTCAGTGCCCATCTGCCATGGTGAGGTGAGCGTGGTCTCTTTTCAGTATAGTAGTTAATATTTTCTAGTATTTTTTTATGGAGAGAATGTGAAAAGTGGCTTTTCAGACACCATCTCAAATGGGTCTGGGGAAAAGAAGGCTGTAAAGGTCGTGGAAATGGCACTCCATTCAGGATGTATTAAAATAATTTGCTTTTCAGGTATTAATATGACATTTGTCATTGTCACTGATTTTTTAAAAAAGCAATGCAAATGTTGGTTGTGGCTGTTTTCCGCATGCTATCTTCATATCTAAATGCTTCATTAATTATCCAAGCCTCCGGAGAATTAACTCTATTACGTTTGTATAGTAAGTTTGTAAACTGCTTGGCAAAACTGATTAAGAAATAATGTGCAACACCATGTACTGAAGTGGCAGGTTTCTGGTAGAAATCGGGCGAGTCCAATTTGGAATTTTGAGTTCCTTGATTGATGAGAATAAAAAGGCATTTGGGAATAAGAAAAGAGAGACAATAGTAGATCGCTTAACATAACAAACAACTGAAAATCGTGTCTGTCCTCTGTGGCCTGGAATTCAATGAAAGAAATTCTCCTGGTAAAAGCTGCTTTCTAACTCCATCCTTTCCAGAAGTACCTCTTACTTTCCCCAGACGAGGCTTGAGCCACCATCAGCAGAAAGAAGAGGGTGGCCGGAAATCAACCCGTAGCCACATCCTGTGAGAGGGTGGGAGGAATAAGCGATTTCAGAGCTAGCTGCCCAGGGAGCATCCGGCAGCTCAACTGGCCAGAGCTTGAAATATATTGAGATGCAAGCCTCAGGGTCACACTGTCTATAACCAAGTTCACCTCCGTGTGTTCCATCTCGGCTTCTGCCCACCCCACATGCAGCCAGGCACCTTACAGATGATGCCCAGGAGGCTGGTAAAATCATCACAAAGGTGATGGGACCTCCAAGTGAATGCCCTGGAGAAAGCAGGATGTCACTGTTGTAGGAATTCTACCCATTAGTGATAACTTACACCTAACATCATGGAATCCCAGTCCCAGAAACTCAATGCGTTCTCTTCTGAGGCAAGAACTTAGGGTCCTCACCTGATTCCTCCATCATAACCACGAGCTCTTCCTGGTCAAGTTTTGCCTGTGAGTGGGGCTTACACTCACCTCTTTCTAGATTTCATTTCATCTTCAATAGACTGTTCTAGAAAAGTAATCTTTTCCTAGTTTCCTTTCATCTCTAATACCTAGGGTTTGCTTTTTCTACCTCTCTTCATATTGGTCTTCTTGTCTTTTGGTTAAAACCACCACTTTGGAAGTGGTGACTTCAGGACTTTGGAAGAAATGACTTCAGGTCATTTCTTACCGCTGCTCAATTCAGTGGCAACAGAATGCACTCTTTCCCAGGAGGAAGTAGCCATTGACGGTTTCCTGAATGGCCCTGCCAATACATACAACCCTTGATTCTGTGAACAGCTTTCTTAGCAGCCTGGTGGCATGGAGTGTGGCATTCAGGTACCCTTCCTTCTGTCCTGTAGTTCCAGGATCTCTATCAAGTGTGAAGGTGAATGAGGTGAGGGAAAGCAGAACCATGCTCCCTGGTCCTGTGCAGGTGTAAGGCGGGTAGGGTTCCTAGTGTTGGTTGTTTGATGCCTCCTTTCCACATTCACCTTCTCATCTCTAGTCCTTCCTTTCTGTCCTCAGCCAGCCCAGTGAACAAGCAATTTTGTCTTTCCAGTAGGGGACCAGAAGACAGCCCGTGCTCATCCTCTTTTCCCATTCTGTAGGATGCTTTTGCACTGCAACCAACTATATTTCCTTCTCCTGCAGTGGCTTTCCACTTCTTGGGTACCCCTCGCCGTTGCTGAGTTCAGGTGCAGCCAGTGATGACATAGATGTAACGCGTGCTCTTCCATCCCTGCAACCCGGCCCATAAAACCAATGGATGGATCTACGCTTTCCCGGGGAGCATGGATGCAGCCTCAGAAAGCTTTATGACACTCCAAGCTGCCAGGGTCAGTCGATTAGAACTGAGGTCATTTGATAACAAGTCTCATTTGTGAACTGGTTTTTATTTGTCTTTCCATCGTTTGCCATGGGCCCAAAACAGTACACCACCCTTTTTAGGAAGCCTCATTCATAAATGACTGTGAGAGCCCAATTCCTTTGTGGATGCTAAAAGTGGAGGCTGACTTCTATAAGCTGTTTTGCTGTCTTTGTTTTAAGACAAATCTCTTCGGCCTCCTTTTGCATTCCCATGTTCTTGGCCAATTATTATAAGCAGCCTTCTGTTCATGCTTTTGCAGAGGTCAGATAAGAGGCCATCTTACTCTTCATCTAATCCCACCTTCTAACCAGAAATAACACAAATATTTGAATTCCAAGGAGAAGTGCTCTGTGTGTATTTCTGTCTAACAGAAACCAGATGCTAATGGCTAAGAAGGAGGATCTATCTCTGACCAAAGCAAAGTGGGAAATGAAACCAGTTATCTGAATATTTCATGTCAGAAGAGTTGCTATTAGCAACTGTTTAGCACCTTCAAGGCTTTGGAATGGGCTCTACAGACAGCCTTCCAGCTGCAGGACTCAGCGAAGCCTCCTCTCCTGATTTTGAAGGCACTTTCAGGTTTCTGCCTTTTGAGGTCCATCTCTCGAAGCACAAGGGAAGTAGAAATGAAGACAGCGTTGCCTTGCATCCAGTGCTTGACCCCTTGGGGCCGTCAGCAGACATCAGAGCTCGTCTGTCTGACCACTTGGAAGCAGCTGTCAAGGTTAGGACCAAGAATTCCTTTCCCATTTTCTCATAATAGTAGCCCAGTCAACACAAGACTGCCATAAACCATGACTCACTATTGGGAGCTATACTCTTTTATAAGCTTACTTCCTGCTGACAAAACTAGATTTCCCCAAGGGGAATAAAAAAGGAGGGAGGAAAGTCACGTTGTGTAGGAAAACATTTCTGGTGATTTAGATAGGATGAATCTGTAGGATAGAAAAAAAAAAATTCTTCTATCCTGAGTTTTTGGAGATATCCCTTCACCCTACTGGGCATTTGGCCATTCGTGTTCAATAGGTCACTGTCCCGCCTTTTTAAAATTTTTTGGAAAGAATTACCCACTAGTAAGGTCTGCTCTCCAGCCTCTCTAGTTGATATTCCTGTGTTTCCATAACGCATTTTGGTTCTACGATGGACCCTGACTTAACATTCTAAGGTCTAAGAGTCCTGCATTTTCCTTAGCAAATTAGGACTTCGGCAGTTTTCCCTCTCCTAAACACATTCTTTCCTGTATAGAATAGCTTTGCCCATCTCCTGCTTTAACTCCAAGTGCATAAACAAAACCTCAGAGGGTCTGAGAAGGTGAGGCGGGCCAGACTCTGTGTTGTGTGTCGAGTGTCAAGCTATTTGTAAAGAAGGTCTGCAACGGGCCTTTGGTGTGGGCTCTGCCAGAGACTGTTGTGAACACTTTGCTTGAGATCCGTGCCCTGTAAAATGGATATGTTTTACTGATGTCTGTAATACATTTGTAAACTTCCAATAAAATTTGAATAAAAGAAGTGTTGCCAATCTTCTCAGTCCTCCCTCCCTTTCCAGATTTCTTGAAATTGTTGCCTTTGAGCATCTCAACAAAGAAGACAGGCTACACGTGTCAGGGGATGAGGTTTACTATGAAGGGTGAACCTGATTGTGTCAATCAGGATTTTTCAACCTCAGCACTATTGACGTTTGGGACCAGTTTATTGTTGGTGGCGGAGGACTGTCCGGTGCCTTGTAGGATGTGCCTTGTAGGACATCACTCACCTCTCTATGCACTCCTCCCCCTGCGTTGTGACCGCCAAAAATCTCTCCATGCATCATGCGCATTAGGATGGCTACTATCAAAAAAACAAACAAACAAACAAACATAACTGGGGTGGGTGAGGAAGCGAAGAAATTGGAGCCTCTGTGTGCTGTGGGTGAGAATGTAAAATGGTGTGTCCTCTGTGGAAAAGAGCACAGCAGTTTCTCAAAAAATGCACACATGGGGCGCCTGGGTGGCTCAGTCGGTGAAGCGTCTGCCTTCGGCTCAGGTCATGATCCCGGGACCCTCGGATTGAGTCCCGCATCAGGCTCTGCCTACCACTTCCCCCTGCTTGTGCACTCACTCACTCTCTCTTTGACAAATAAAATCTTTTTTAAAAAATGTTACACAGAGAACTACCATATAATCCAGCAATTCTACTTTTGGGTTTATACCCAAAAGAATTGAAAGTAGGGCCTCAGCAGGGCCTCAGAAAGATAGGAGCACATCCATGTTAAGAGCAGCATTAGTCCCAATAGCTAAAAGGTGGAAGCAACCCAAGTGTCCATCAGTGGATGAGCGGATAAATGAGATGTGGTGTATACGTACAGTGGAATATCATTCAGTTTTAAAGAGAAGAAAATCCTGTTACATGCTACAACATAGATGAATCTAGAGGACATCCTGGGAAATGAAAGAAACCAGTCAACCAAAAGACAAACATTGTATAATTCCACTTCTGTGAGATACCTAGCGTAGTCAAACTCATAGAGATGGAAAATAGAACAGAGGCTGGGGAGGGGGAAGAAGAGAATAGGAAGTTATTTAATGGTTACAGAGTTCCAGTTTTTCAAGATGAAGAATCTGGAAATTGCACAACAATGTAAATGTACTTGATACTACTGAACTCAGCACCTAAAAATGGTAAATTGTATGTTATCTTTATTTTAACACAATTTAAAAAAAAAAAGAAAATGTCTCCACACATGGCTGAATGTCCCTTGGGGACAAAAATCACTCCTGGTTGAGAACCACCAAAGCAAATGATTTGCTTTCTTAGCCTCTTTGTTCCTTAAGGATTCTAAAAACTGACTCCTACCCAGGCCACACAGTTAATTTTCAGTTATTAGCAGGAATTAAAACCAGCAACCCCAAAATATTTGTATTGGCTTTTAAGCAAATAATAGGTGGGTTGTCTAGAGAGTTATGTCCATGTTATGGTTAGGATGGCATTCATATTGTTAAGGAGCTGGGCCACCAAGGTGGCTCAGTTGGTTAAGTGTCTGCCTTCAGCTCAGGTCATGATCCTGGGGTCCTGGGATCGAGGCTAACGTCGGGCTCCCTGCTCAGCAGGGAGTCAGCTTCTCCCTCTTCCCTTCCCCCCTACCGTGTGCGCTCTCTCTCTCTCTCTCTCAAATAAATAAATAAAATCTTTAAAATACCATCAAGGAGCCAGGACCAAAGCAGTATGTAAATCAGATTTTCCCATGTCTGATCCACAACATTTCGGAGTTGCTGGATACTCCAATAACATTTATTCATTCAGCAAATATTTATTGAGAACCTGCTCTGTGCTGGGCACTATTCTAGGTGCTTGGAACACAGCAATGCAGAAAACAGAACTTCCTACCCTAAAGGAGCTTATAAACTCCACTTTCCACCAGACATAAAATCTGAAATAGCAAATGTTCTCACCCACCCTAACCATGAGGACTTGAGAGTTGCAAATGAGTCTTATTTCATTCAAAGGCCTTCTGAAAGCCTTTGGATGAAGGCTTGAGGTGTGTTGGAAAATGACAATTACCAGGCCTGTTCTGCTTACCAACCTTCCTGGAGATGGCCTTCAGGCAGCCATGGTTTTACTCTATGACCGCCCTCTTCCTCCTCTTCAACCAAAATGATTGGCGTCAATATGGCACCTAGCCAGCAATCTATAAGTGACGTAAGTGACATGGCATGGTAAACTGGACAATCAGATTCCCTCTCTCAAGAATATAAACTAAGGGATTCTGAGAGCCTGAGGCAGTTGGCAGTGTAGGCAGAAGCCGGGAGGATGTGTAGGGAGAGCAGCCCGGAGGTGGAGCTGAGCCTGTGAGCATCAGGGCAAGATGAAGGAAAAGGGAGCAGAAGCTCAGGCTGAGAGCAGGACCAAGGACACAGATGCATGTGAGCCCAGAGAGATCTGAGGTGACCCACAGGAGCTGGTCCCCGGGACGTCTCGCCCCAAACAGATTCCAATTATAATTAAGGCATATGAAGGATGAATCCTGAATGGCAGCTTCCATATGTTTTCTTTTGCCCTGCTTCTCTTTAGCAATTTTTCTCAAGATTTTGTTTATTTACTTGAGAGAGAGCATAAGCAGAGGAGGGGCAGAGGGAGAAGCAGACTCCCCGCTGAGCAGGGAGCCCGACACGGGGCTCAATCCCAGGACCTTGAGATCATGACCTGAGCTGAAGGCGGATGCTTAACCAACTGAGCCACCCAGGTGCCCCCAAGCATTTAGCACTTTAATCCCCTTAGCCACTTGTTCGTTGTATCATCTCGGGAAATGTGCATGTCTTCTCTGAGCCTCAGTTTTTATCTAACTAGTGGGAGAATAATGGCATCATGTGGGCTTACTGAATGAATGCGTGGAAATCTCTTAGCGCTATGTCTGTCAATGTAAGAGCTCAAAACATAGTATCTGTTGCTGCGATTACTATCGTCATCATCTCAAAGAGAAAGAGTAGCAGAAAGATACCATAGGTATCTGGTCTAACAGTGCTCATTTATTGTCATTTAATGTAAGCATGAAACTGGAGTTAGAGACATCCCAGGAAGGCCCGAATCTTTCCTATATGTAAGAAGTGCCTGCAGATTTATTAAACAAAACAAATCTCCTGGTCCTAACCACAGACGTTCTGGTTCAGTGGATCCGGGGCCAAACCCCGGAATCTGCTTTTTTAACAGGGCTTTCCATGTCATTCCAATCCGGCAGGTTTGAGGACCACACTTCATGAGACTCTGCCTTAGCAATTGTTTGTTTGTTTGTTTTCTTCCAGAACAGATAAACAACATGTCTGCCAGTCCCACCCACTTCAGGAGACTCTGATAACAAGTCCATTGGTCAGGTTGGAAAGATCTGAGGCTGGGGTGTACAATACAATTTGGAGAATCTGAGGTATATTCACTTTTCCCAGGAGTGACTGTCTTCACAAATAGAAGTGTAGTTTAACTGATTTTAATTTTTCTGAGATATATCATGAATACATTGAAGAGAGTGAGCTTATTGAGAAATTCAGTCTAACAATTATGTTTGGATCTGAGAATCGCTACTCCTGGCTCATAACCAGTGACTTTCACACATCAAAATTACCTGGGTAGATTATTTGAAATCCAGAGTCTCTGGCCCCATCCCTAGAAAGTCTCACTCAGCAGGTCTCCAGCAGGACTAGGAAGACTGCATTTTTCATAAGCATTCGGGGATCTGAGACCAGCCTTGGGAGACCACGCCTCTCTCACGTGGGAAATCCATCCCCCAAGAGCCCTTTGTGCTGCATGCAGTCCAGCCTGTGTTCCAGAGCTTCGCTTCGGAAGGATCTTCTTCTCCAGTGTTCATCTACCAGAGGTGTAGACACTGGTTTGCTTTTGGCCCACAGTGAGAAAGAGCAGCCCCTATGGAAAACCCACGCCAGTGTAACTTCTAAATACAGGAAAGCTCCTCAGAAGATGCAATAGATAAATAATCAAAACACGGGGAGGGGGCGGGGACGGTTAAGCTGTTAAAGGACACAATCCTACCCAGCAGGAGAGGAGATGCTTTAAGAGCCTTCTCAGCAAAATACTAGCAGGTACTTGTTCCCCGGCTAGGTTGGTGATTCTAGAGACAAATCAGATCATCAAGGTGGATGCGCAGCTTTGTGCCATGGAACACACAACAAGTTAGCAAACAGACGAGACCACAAGTACCAGAAAGTAAACCCAACAACTTAGAGGGATTGGGGCAGCTGTCTTAGGCCAGGTTCTTTGGGTTTTAAGTATTGTCAAAAGTTACTTCAAAGTAACTAGAGCGAAAGGGAAACAGAGGGAAAGAGAATTGATTTGGAGGATACTATGTGTCTTCCAAGGACCGAAGGGCAGCCCCTTCATGAGAGCCTGGAACCAGGACAGAGCCTGGAACCAGGATGAGGAAAACTACCAAGAGCTGAGAAGGATTCTATCCCAATTTTTGAATCTGTTTCCCATCAAATGTCTGCTTAGTCTTCTGCCTTTGCTTTTGCTTTGGGCAGCTCATGGACAGACGTGGCTCCTCACGCTCCTGAGTTGCCATTCTCCGCATTTCACCCCTTATTCTCAGGAAGAAACTCTGATTGGCTCAACTTGGATCAGGTGCTCCTTCCTGGTCAAATCACCTATTGGAGGAAAGGGGGTGACTCCCCGAGCTAGCATGCTGCCAGAATGCTAGTTTCTGCAGGTGAGGAAACAGAGAAAGCCATGCGCTGAGCAGACACCCCAAACTGTATCTCCTATAACAATTATCCTAGTGCTCAGATCTTTTCTGTCCCACTTTCCCTTTTCCCTCCCCTGCTCTTTATTCTGTAAATCAAATTAGCCACTCTTGGTGCTTAGTTTTTACCTCTTCTTCGCTCACTACTCAGACTCCCTCCAGACGACACTGTTTCTGACACTGGATGAATTTTTTTTTCTCCCAAGGTGCAGGGACCAAGTGTTTTACTCTGACTTCATAGCTTGTGTGAATTCCATCCAGCTGGCCTCATGCCTGGTAAGAGGAGGGCTCTGGG